TTACGGTTAATTTTTGAAAGACATGTTGGATTATAGATAGGAGACTACCCAGAGACTTCACCCTCATTTTGCGATGACTTTTGATTTGGAGTTCAAGGTTTCCCATAGGCGCAAGCCCCTATGGTTAATATCTCGCGCGATAGCGGGAAAACACTTTCGATTAAGACTAATTATTAAGAATTGGATATTTAACATATAATAGCAGGAGACTTGGGATTTAAGTTGTAAAATTTATCAATTTAAACTTAAAGTGAATGGTGGGGAGAAGATGAAGAACCCGATAAAGATCTCATTGTTTCATCATCTCGGTCGTCATGGTCTTTGATCTACTTAGTCAGAGAAGGTATTCGACCTAACTTAACTAAAGAATCTTAATTCAACCTTAGCTGACAAAAGTCCTTATATCAATCAATTATACCCTTATGGTTCACAACTCAAACGATAGAAAGTTATTGGGGAACTTACGGGTTGTGACCGTGACTGTAACCATAATATAATGGTGTCATTTGGTATCAACCACTCGATCAAAGGACTCTGATCATAACCGTTATTTTGTAGTGTTATCTAACAGCAAAAATGCACACACAAAAGACTTAGGCACAACCTTATTGACATACAATTGCTTTAATTGTGAAATCAAACAAAAATTTGTCACTCTCAATAAACTGTTGTAGAGTGTGGATGAGAGTTTGTTTTGAGGTTTTTAAGCGATCAATTATACTTAAATATTTTGATTTATTATCTTGAAAATCTTGATTTTATAAATTGACCCCTCCAGTTGAGATTCACAGTCAACAAGTTTATCATCAAAGATTTTAACATTCAAAAGTTTTATATTTGAAGAACATTTGCTTTTGTTAGTTTAGACTTTTTCAAGACATAAGTCATGTAAGGAAGAGCGAATTGGGTGATTCAGACTTTTAAATTATTATCTTTATGATTTGAACGTCTATTATTAAATTTACTAGATTTGTCAATTTCGATCCTTGTAATAAGGAAGATCGGACTGGTTGAGTGAGACTTACAACCATGTCTTATAGACAAGATGACCCAATTAAGAGTGAATAGTTTAATTATCTTGGATTTGAATCTTAATATATGAGGATTCTTTAAATTTAAAATAATCTTCAATTTTTCAAAAGAATATTGTACTCATATCAGAAAAAGAAAGTGAAAACATCATTATAACCCGCACAACCTCTTGCCATTCAATTTTAAATATTTAATTCATTTCAATGGAGCACATACAAGTTTTAAATTTCATATATTTGAATAACTCAAAATGAATTTTATAGATTTTGAAGATTCGCACAATCTTTAAACTATGAGTTTCAGCAAAAGATAAATGCATTATTTTAAAATTGTGCATATTTTGCTCACTTTAATAAATATTTTGAAGCATATATAACTAAGGAGTGTCCAACTTATCATTTATAAAAGCCTCAAAATTAATCGTCAAAGTTATAGGAAATTTCATTTGACTTAAAGAATAATCATGAAGTTTGTCTAGGATTTAAAGACTTTAAAGTCATTTGAAACTATAAACATTTATTTGGATATTATCTTGTTGGAGTGCATGCAAAATTACAACATTGGACTTTAAGAGGAACCGCCTTTTGTTCACTAGTAGGCGTAATGCGAATTCGGTGGCAATGAAACCCTAAGAGCCTACATTTTAAAAGTTCAGGCTCAAGCTATTTTTAAATTCAAATGATTCACATTTTAGTTTATCTTATAAAACTTCAAACGCCCAAAACTTCAAGTTAATTTACAAGTCTAAATCATCCAAAATTTTTATAACCTCCTCCCATTAAGAGGCACCAGAAGAATGTGAGTCATCTCAATTGTCTTAAAAGACTTGTTGGTCGGAGTTGTGGACACTGTGACCAGGGAGCAAAAAAAAAGTATTTAACTCGCGGTTTTAAAAGATGCAAGGAGTCTTCAATGTGCCTACAAAAAGAGTCAATTCACAAGCAAGTATTTTTCAGAACGGTACTTAATTCCCAAGAACGGGTACTCCTTTTCCATGACATGTATTTTAGAAACCCCTAATTTTATAAAAATTTTCCACGCAATTTCTCCGAACTGTAATTAATTCCCAAAGACGGGTACTCGTGCTTCCTCGAATGGATACTTTAAAAATTGTCTCATGCACCATTTTTATACCTTTCGAGCAAAGCGATGACATTGACGGTGATGATATACGAACCAATGGTGGCACAAACTCATGATGCAGAAAGCAAAGACCCTCTGTCGCACCTTTTGCAATCTTCAACCTGGTTATCCAATCCAGTGATTGTAAAGCCTCATCTTCTTGCATGGCCTTTCTATTAAGCATAGTAGCTAAGTCATGATGAGGCATTTGTCTAAACAAGGAATATCTCATTCTAGTTCTTCAAGCAACGTCCCACAAACAGAACCAAGCTCTCATGCCATAATCAGGCAAACAAATCCAATTCCATCTGATAAGTTTCCTTCTTCACACTGTTCATGTCTATCCTCTTCACAATTACATGCCTCCCATTTTCTAACACTCCCTGGTATATCTCCTGACTTTCCATGTTTGGTTAGGTTCCCCTCACCAAAATCTGAAGTTCATGTGCAAATTGCACAAAGTGAAGACCTCTCACACAGCTGGTTAGTTGGCAGCAACTGCAGGAAGTGGTTCCTTGCCTCCTTCAGGAGCAGATGGAGCAGCATTCGGACTCAGCTCACTCTGATCGGATAAAGGGCTTCTGCACCACCAAAAATACAGCTAGAGACAAATTACTACAAAAACCAGAAGGGCCGTTCCTACAACAACTGCTGCCACAATATACTTCTAAGTGTTGTTGCTTTCGGATGAGCTAGGAGGTGAAACTGGATTCCCGGGAACACCATAAGTCAGCCTTCTCTCTTTCAGAATTCCTGACAGTCACCCTGGCTTCTTTGGCTCGAAGCATAAAAAGATTATGTGATATAATAAATGAACCATTGCTGGAGCCACTGGATTTGGTAGCAGAGAGCGTCGACAGACTGCCCTTAAAGTTGTTGTACGAGACATCAAGAAACCTCAATTTGATGAAGACCACAATGAATCCAGGAGCTCGCCAGAGAAGTTGTTCCAGCTCAATGTAATTGACTCGAGTTGTGTTATACTGGTGAAAAGGCTTACCCCTAAAGAGCCATTGAATAAGTTGCTACCCAAGTTTAGATTCTACAAGCTCCCAAGCTTGTTCAATCCATCAGGTGTCCTGAACAACGAATTGAAGCCGAGAACAAGGGTGACGAGGGAAGAGAAGTAGCCTAGCTACTGGGGAATGAAGCCGATTAGATTGTTTTTGGCGAGCATCAGGGTTTTCAACTGACACAAAGATCCCATCTCCGAAGATACAATACCATTGAGGAATTTAAAGGACAAGCAAGAGATGAGAGACTGTCGAGGCCGATGAACCCCACAGTAATATTGCAGGTTAACGTGTTTCGAAAGAGGTCGAGGACTGAGAGATTCCTCAATTGACCAATGATTTAGGGGATGTTACCATTGATGGACTTCTCCGCAAGAGAAAGCACGGTGAGATTGCCTGCAAGAATATACGGTATGTCCCCAGTGACTGAGGCGCGATGAAGATCAATAATGGCAATCAATGGGGGAAGCACTCTACCGAAGTTTCAGAAGGTCTTCGTACAACTTGATTCTGTCATTGTTTTTTCAGTAAAGAAAATCTGAAGGATTTTCGGATTCTTCGTCTGTTGTGATCCCATCATTGCTTTTCCAAAGGTAGTAGGGTTCTCCAGCTGAACCGAGTGCAACCAGGAGAGTAACAAAAATCTTTGTGTGCCACAATACTGTCGTTGCTTTTTAAGTTAGCTCTAGTCGCTACTGTATCACGAGGATCGCCAAAGGAAAGGCTTCGACCGTAGCGGGGAAGATGACGACGTGGAAGACATCATTTATGTGCGGTTTCTTTTTTGGTAACCGAGCCTCTCCACACTCCAAAGGCTTTCCCCTATTTCTTAACAGGGAACAAACATTTATACTTTATTTGAATAAAGCACCGAAAAGGGTAGTAACAATTAATAGTTTTATTTTTTTTTCTTTTCTTATTTTTTTAAAATTTTATTTTAAGGGTAAATAGAGTGGAGTGGCCTGGGAAGGATCAAGAAAGAGGAGTGTTTGGAAGGCCAACCGAAAAGGGAACTTGTGGCTGCTCTTCTTGCTCTGGAAGGAGCAGTTGGCTCACCGAGGGATGGCCTGCAGGCTGGCTGACGATCTGCAGGGAGAGGAAGGAGGAGCCGAGGAAGGTTTGCAAGGAGACTGACGACTACGGGGAGGATTCCGAGTAGGGGAGGGCCTGCAGGAAGATTGGCAGCTGCAGGGAGGATTCCGACATTGAACGGCTGCTGAAGAGGCTCAGGCCGTTGAAGGAAAGCTGATAATTGTTTCCTCGCTCTGATACCCATGTAGAAAGATGAAGCAACTATATTCTCAAATTTCATCATAGTCAAATTACAACATTTTCCCTTACTATTAGGGAATGTCTAGAGAAAAGATAATTAAGGCTATTACAACTTACAAATTACACAACAAACAATAAAGAAAAGACATACAATATTATAAGAAACATAATAAAAAGAAATAAAACTAAAATAAGAAACTCCCTCCAATAGCTTCCACAAATTGATGCTGTGGTGCTCATATGACCGGCGGTCTGGGCCACCAAACAGGGACAAAATTCAACAATATCCAATCTTATGTTCTATAATTCTTCAATTTCATGGGAAAATTAATTTATATAGCTCTCATAAGTTTCTCCTGCACACTAATTGTAATCCTTGTCTTTAAATATTAACATATCTACCCTCAATATAGCTGCCCAAATTGTAATTGAAATGACCTTCTTTAAGTAATTGAATTTTGAAATTTTAAGTGGCAGACGGGAAAGACAAATGAAAAAAGCAACTGAAATAGGGGCACGACACTGCAATACAAACAAATTAAAACAGATCAATTTGCTCACCTGTCCACAAAACTAGTTGGTGTTGACATTATGTACTCATAAGTATAGCTGAAATTGTACAAAGGTATGCAGCTGCCAAAAATGGAAAGGAATAATTAGTTAGCAACCCCATTGAAAATGCAACTTTTGTGAGGTGATACAAATAAGAATCTATAACCATAGAACTTTGCTATAAGTTATTAGAAAGTTTTAGAGTTGTTTCTTTGTATTACATGATGGACATCGTGGTTACTTCGCAAGTCAAGTGTAATCGGCAAATTCAAAACCTCTATTTTGTCTAAGTCTCCATCAACACCAAAATCATAAACAAACAAGAAACCAAACTTGCACACAAACCAAGGAAAAGAGGAAAAGGAAGCTAGAATGTTATTATGTTGCTACACAACATTCAAGATTGTGGACCCCATAAGAAGTAAAATGTTTGGAGATTAAAGCAAATGATGATCATCAGGTTTAGGTAAAACATATCTACTAAAAATAGGCAATTCAAATTACACGCCTCATTAACTAAATAAATCAATAATAAAATTTTAAATAATTAAAGAAGGCACTTGAGCACCAAGAATCTATCAAATAATATATTGGAAATCACTTGTTAACATAAAAAAGGGAATCCGTTTACCTCAATAAAAATTCATTGTATTGGTTATGGGCCATTTGATATGCTAATATGAAGAAACAGCTACAAAGCTTTCTTAAATCATATTATCAAGCTATATCTATAACGCATGTGGTGTTTTAAGTTTCCCAACAACCCAATGCAAAATTTAGACTACATAAATCTCCTACTAGAGCATATATCTGCAAGAAATAAAGTAAAAGAAAAAATATCGTAGGATTCATTTTACGGTCATTAAAATTTCTTTCACAGTTGCAAAAATCTTTCGAAGTGCTAGACAAAATTCACATTGATCAAAATCAATGTATTTGATTTTTATGAAGAAAATTTGAGCTATCAAGCTTGCAGTGTACCCTACATATGAATTCAAAAAATGCACAACGCCTCTCATGTACTAATGTGGACTAGTTATTATTCAGTACAGACTGCAGACAACAAAGTTAAAACAGCACATGTAAAGTTGGAGTACATAACCATTCACTCAGGAGCTTAGTTGAATACAAATGTGTATTGCACCTGCGGAAGAATATGCAAATGTATACTCTTATTTTCCGTACACCCCACCATGCTAAAGGATCGCATTGAATAATGTATTGCTAACGTGAAGGTGAGCATGCTAATGCTTCTTGAACAACAAAATGATTTCAAATATGCGTCGAGAATTCTTGTATACCTATGAAAAATCTAAATTATAATAAAAGGACCCTTTATGTCAATATAATCTTTCGAGGCCTAACCCCTGCACCTTAACTCGTATAAATTGTGCCAACACAGTGATCAGGCATATTTCAATGACCGAAATTTGACTACATAAACTCTCAGATGATCTCAGAGTCCTAGTTAATCATTTCAATATGCCTATTAAAATACATATTGCATAAAAAAAACAAATTCTAAGCATTGGTACTTCAAATAGGAACAAGCGACAACTTAATTAATTGAATTGGCAGGGAGATAGCAAGCCCCATTAAATCAACTTTAATTAATTTGGCCACCTTACCAATATGGTAAGGAGACCCGTACTAGCTTCCTCGTCTCCAAGATTAAAAGTCTCAGTTGTGGGCCTTCGAATGGATGCAGCTGCAAGGTGCAGAACCAACCAAGCACCTTATAGAACGGCAATAATAGAATTGCAAGAATTAAAGAGTCGGTTACGGAATGGTATTAGAGAGAGGATGTATCAGTTCAAATAAATATTATTTGTTAAGAAGAAAGAAGGAAATCTGAGATTATGTATTGATTATAAGGATTTGAACAAGCTCAAAGTTAAGATCAAATACACATTGCCAGCGAATGATGATCTCTTTAATCAATTAGAAAGGGATTCAGTATTTTCAAATAGAGACTGACGATCAGGCTACCATCAATTGAGAATTAGAGAAATAGACGGCAAAAATAGCATTTGGTACAAGATATGAACATCATGAATTTATAGTGATGCCTTTTAAATTGCCAAACGCACCTGCGGTATCTATAGAAACAGATAATTAAAAATGGTTGGACAATGAAAAAGATGACGCATCATCATGCATTAATTAAAACATATAATTAAAGATGGGCAACTCAAATTCCAAGCCCACTAACTTACTTAATGGACATAAAAAATAAATTAGAATAATAAATTTATGGTGGAACTTAAGCACCCTGAATCAACCCTAATACCATTGCCAAACGCACCTGCGGTATCTATAGAAACAGATAATTAAAAATGGTTGGACAATGAAAAAGATGACGCATCATCATGCATTAATTAAAACATATAATTAAAGATGGGCAACTCAAATTCCAAGCCCACTAACTTACTTAATGGACATAAAAAATAAATTAGAATAATAAATTTATGGTGGAACTTAAGCACCCTGAATCAACCCTAATACCATTGGAAATCATACTTGTAGAATGGAATGAACCCATCTAACATTTAATGATAGTTACTTGTACTGGTTATGAGGTAATTGATATGCTACTATGAAAATTAGCTACAAAGCTGACGCGAGGGCTTTCACTCATGCCCCTCGATCGGGCGTAATAAAAGACCGGTCCAATAGGGACAATGTCGGCGCTTAAAAGGGGAAAAAGTTAATGTTTGGGGGTCGCCCGTAAGAAGCTGTCGGCAGCCGGAATCGAAATCCCGTCACCCGCTTCGGAAGGACTTTTGAATTTACGTATATATATATAATTTTAGAAAAATATGAAATCAAACTGACCTCATATTTTTCACAGTTTAAATGAAAGAGCATTCTACCTCAAATCCTGTATCTATCCCGAGGGATAAACACAAGACTTGAGGATAAGACTCGATCAAATAAACTAAGAAAGATATGACATCCGTTTGGTCTGCGAACCCGTTTTATTTCCCGACAAGTTCCCCTATTTAATACAGAAGAATTAAATAGGGTTTATTTTAAGCTGGGTCCGGAAAAGCTCCCTATAAGGGCAAGCCCCTATAGTTAATT